TTTGATAAATTCTTTAAATTTTGGAACCTTTCGAGCACCAACTTTCAAATCCGCAGTAAAATCTCCACGTCCGCCCGTGTCGTCGGCGTCGCCGACAAGCAGGTACATCGCGCGCTCTGGATATTCATAACTTTAATCAAGGATAAATAGAAAACTATTTGTTCCAGATGGTTGAATTTTTTTTTAAAAACTTTTTTGATATTTTTTCGTCATATCATACGCAGATACTATGGAAAAATTCGTTCAAATAAAAAAGTTTCTCGCTTACCGAAAAACATGCTGCAATTAAAGTACGATTTGGAGTTCAATCCAGTTCCAAAAAAAAAATTGAGTCACTATGGGATTTAAACTAGCACAGTTATCACCGCTCATATGTCCACTACCGATTAAAAAAAAAATTATGCTGATAGGTTTATTAGTTCCGGAGTTATCGCGTGGTGGGTTTGAAAAAACACGAAAATAACATTTTGACATATTTGTCACATTTTTTGAGATAAAAAATGTCTGCCCCCGCGAAAAAAGTCGTAATTAGCCATTATAGATGCACAAGAGCATAACCGATCAGCCTGTATAGGTTTTATGTGGTTAGACCTTCAAAAAAAATTTTGAAACATTTTTATATCGTTTTTACTCCACTAATTAGTATCATTACAGGCAGAAGAATCCGAAGTGACTAGAACGTCGATTAGTTTGGCTGTACGATCTGTGACACGGGTAGGTTCCGATCTTTGAATATAAAACTATGAAACTACAGGAAGGAGCATAAACTCGAATCTGCGCGACCAGAATGGAGGTTGCATATGGCCGACTAGTGTTTCCGGTTTGGCAGTGGCGTATATTTATCTAAATATGATTGTCAATATTATGACAAGATAAAAAAGTATTTACATTAAACCACACACAATCACTCTTGTCGCGCTAATCTCAGAGTGCTTATCACTTAAAACGGCTAAAATCCATTAAACATCCACTTTAATGAGGACACAGCGAACCACCAAAACAAATGATGAGTCATACTTATGGAGGCTCAATATGGCCGTTTCCGTCCCTGCTTTGACTGTAGTGACAGATAGAATACGCTCCTTCCTGTAGTTTTATATTCAAAGGTTCCGATATAAGCTGATGCAACCCATACTTTGAAAGACAACCCTGGAAACTTCTATAACCTGGAGTGTCAACGTCTGACATATCTACGTTAAAATCGGCACCAAAAATAATCAAATCAAACTGGGGAATTAAGTCAGCTAAAGAAGTTTTCAACTGATCAATACAACTCAATAGATTGCTACCTGGAGGACGGTATAAAGTGCCCAGAGCGACTTTCTTTCCCTCAAATCCGGCACATACCCAAAACTGCTCCAACCCGTTACCACCGTCACCTACACCCACATCCTCATTAACCTTCAGTTGAATATAATCCCTAGAGTAAGGCTGGCCGTCCATTGGATGCGTAGTCGTACGACTTTGCGGTCGTGCGTAGTCGTCCGTATACGTCCGACTAATCCCTTCACATAAAAATTAATAGAACGCTCATCCACTGCACATGAATTCGGTGGCACGACTTGATCCGATTTCATGCGACCAACGACTGGTCCCATCTGAATGGGATTTGTCGGGCGTTTTCAAACGACTTTTTGTCAGTATTTGCAATTTAGCCAGTGCAAGTTTCCATTTCTTTACATATTGTGGCTAATTATGGATTGCGAGAAGCTAATTTGCGAGGTGAGAGAAAGAAAAGCATTATGGGATATGAGCGACAGCAGATATCATGCTAGAGACGTCCAATGCAAATTTTGGAAGGAGGTTACGCAAAAAATGGATAGTGTCAAAGTTCATTTTGATCACTCTTATCTAAACACTACCAACACAAAGGCCACACTTGAACTTGAACATACGCTACAAAATTAAGAAATGAACTACATATCTATTTTATGTACCTATCAATCAGAAATCTTTTCTAATGGACGAGGTGCAGTCGTTCACATACGCATGATCAATATCGTCCGATTATTCACGACCGCAAAGCCGTACGACTACGCATCCAATGGACGGCCAGCCTAAAACGCCAGCCCTCCACCTTTTCCCTCTCTATCCCTCCTAACTAGTTTGAAACCATCAACTTTGACTCCATAGCTGGGCATATGTTTTGTCAACCAAGTCTCCGATAGTCCCAATATGTCAAGATCAGAATTCAGTATAAATTCCCCAAACAAATCAAACTGTGAACGCAGAGAGCAGAGAAAAGCAATTTGTCTCATTTGTGCACTCTCTCAATATGCGTCATATATTTACTTGAATCACTTGACGAGTCTTTTGCTCTATCATTTGCCATTATCTTTGTCTCCCTGGATAAAGTTGTTTTTAATTTTTGTGTAAAATATCCAATCATTCACTCGATTGTATTGCTTACATCATATCACTTAACAGATGTAAATGTTCTTTCATCTCCTTAAAACCATTATTAAACCAACTGACTCGACTCTGTTGGCCTGATTCGATCCTACACAAAATTTCTTCTCAGGAAATGAATGCTTGCATGCATCTCTCAGTGATTCCATCAAGATACAAAAGCAAGTTATATGTAGAACTTCTTCGAGCCCCTCAGTGTAATGAGCCGAATTTTTTTTTCTCCAAGCAGTATTTTATTATTATCTAGGCAGGATTCTCCACGTGTTGCTTCCAAGATTTTCTGTTCAAAACTGCATGATCCCACCAGATCAAGCAGTGCGGACGACTCACCCTGTATTGTGCCAAACAAAACATTGATGTCCCCTGCCATAGAATGATATTAATTTTCTGGCCAATGTCAATGTACTCTCCAGAGCAGAAAGAAGTGTGACAACATCTTCTTCGTGTATATACAATATATGTACATACAACACTTTCAATTAGGACGACGCACAATTCTATGCTATAGATTTTCCAACATCAGAAATATCGCAAGTCGCTACATACACAAAATTAAAATTTTCCTCAACCAAAACTAGAGTACCTCCATGTGGCTCAAGTTAGCTTCATACTCAAATTCAGATTCATGTATACATAATATTACAGTCGACCAAATAAAATTATATTGGAAAGAAGATTATTTAAATAATATTATTATATTATTTAGAGAATTTCTGGAAATTGGAGAGGGTAGAAATAATCTATGAGCAAAATCCAGGATATTTGGTTCAGTCAAGTTAGGTCTGGGAAATATCCTCGAATGCGAATATGCTTGAGGGTTGTGCCTATCTTCGTCAAATTCCAAAAAATCCATACAAAACATCAATAATTTCTAACGAATTTTCAAACAAATTTTCGACTTTTTCCCGTAGTGACTCTCCCAGACCTATTTTGACTGGGGAAAATATCCTCGAGTGTACTTGAGTATTGTGTCTATTCTCTTCAGATTGCGGAAAATCCCTACAAATTTTGAAGCTAATTTTGGGTTTTCCCCAGACCCCACTAGACTGGACAAAATTAATATCCTCGAATGTACCTACTTGAGGGTTGTGTTTATCCTTTACAAATTGCAGAAAATCCCTACAAAGCATATTTAATTTTCTATGAATCTTCAAACAAATTATCGACTTTCGCCCGGAGTGACTCTCCCAGACCCCACTTGACTGTTCTGGAGGCTTTTGCCTCTATCGTCTTCAAGTTCCAGAAAATCCCCAAGAAGCATATTTAATTTTCTGAATTTTCAAACAGGTTATCGACTTTCTTTCGTAGTGTCTCTCCTAGACCTAAATCGACTGGAGAAATTATCCTCCAATCTATTTGAGGGTTGTGTCAAGCCTCTCCAAATTGCAGAAAATCCCTACAAAGCATATTTAATTTTCTACGAATCTTCAAACAAATTATCGACTTTCGCCCAGAATGACTGTCGCAGACCCCACTTGACTGTTCTGGAGGCTTTTGCCTCTATCGTCTTCAAGTTCTAGAAAATCCCTAGGAAGCATATTCAATTTTCTACGAATTTTCAAACAGGTTATCGAATTTCTTTCGTGGTGTCTCTCCTAGACCTAAATCGACTGGAGAAAATATTCTCCAATCTATTTGAGGGTTGTATCAAGCCTCTCCAAATTGCAGAAAATTCCTACGAAGCATATTTAATTTTCTACGAATTTTCAAGCAAAGTATCGACTTTCCTCGTAGTGACTATCCCAGAGCTAACTTTACTGTAGAAAATATCCTCGAAGGTACCTACTTAAGGGTTGTGTACATACTCCTCAAATTCCAGAAAATCCCTACAAAGAAAATTTCATTTTTTACGAATTTTCCCCCGTAGTGACTCTCTCATTATTTTTCCGTTATTTCTTCGCTCTCCGAATTCCAGAAATTTTTTGCATCGCGTAATTTAAAAGCGTTTGTCGAAATTTATATTATTTAAACAAATTTTTGACTTGCCTGCTTTCCCTCGTGTATACATACAAGCGGCTTGGTAAGTGTGAAAGGGGTGAGGTTCTTTAGCTAATAACATTCGTTTTCAAAAATGTCATAAGAAAATTGAGTGTTTTTCCATTTTTTTTCAATATGTATTTATTTGGTCGACTGTGATATACCTACATGAATCCGAATATAAAAATGAAGCTAATTGCAGCCAGATAGTAAAGTTCTTGTCGAGAAAACTGGAATCCTGTTAAATCAATGCTCTGTTAAGTAGATAATGTCGATGGGAATGTCTACTAAAGATGCTTCCAGTTCATGAATTGTATTGCTGATAGATCTCACAATGAATAGACAGTATTTCCGACAACTCCCTTCCGGTCTAGTGGTTTGGGAATTGGATTTGCCTTTGCTGAGACCTCTCGATAAGTTGCATAGGTAATCCCCATTAAAGCATCCTAAACTTTTTGCGGTACTTATGAAATATGAGTCAGTGTGAGTCAAGTGTGATTCAGCCAACGTAAAATTAACCACTACCCCAATAACTAAACATTAGCCCTATCCCAATAACTACACATTTAATTGAGTTTGGGAGTGGTACTGTAGAACGTTTAAATATTTTCCAGGAAAACACGTGGAAAGTCACGAATCGGCACTAGAAGTACTGGCCGCTAGCAGCAGCAGAGCAGGAGCATCATTGTGGCCCTATTGAGATGAGCCAATTTCCCTACAAAGACAACGGCGACACCGGTTTCAGACCGGTCGAACCACAAACATGTATTTTACAGCAACAACAGCAGAAACTGCCGCAGCAACGGCAGTACGATGTCGATGCCGAGTCAGACGCGGAGGACGAAATGGTGACAACGGAACGTGAACTCGCTGAGGATGCCCAGTGGAAAAAAATACAACAAAATACGTTTACGCGATGGGCAAACGAACACCTCAAAACAGTTTCAAAGCATATCGGGAATTTAGAGACTGACCTTAGTGATGGCCTCAGGCTCATCACCCTTATTGAGGTACTGGCCAATAAGCAGCTACCCAAGTATAATAAGAAACCCTCTTTTCGATCTCAGAAGCTAGAAAATGTGTCGGTAGCTCTTAAATTTTTACAAGACGATGAAGGAATTAGAATTGTTAATATTGGTAAGTACCTACTTACTTATTATCATGTATCATATAAGTTCTTGAACATGCTTTTTTATCTCTAGGAATATTTATTTTGAATGACAATAGGAACGAAACTATGTATTTATTGATAAAAGCGCGAAACGAAATTATAAAATTTTGCGTTTCAAATTTTGGTGATATTTTATCGGTAAATTTAACAACAAATAAAAACCCACAGCATATTTGCATAACATGTTTTTTTTATTATATTTGTTGTTAAAGACAAAAATGAATTCATTAGGTAGGTACTATTTTGGGACACGTATTGTTAAAGGTATGCGAAGTGATATTATCGTCAATTGTTAAATATTTTTATTATAATCTGACTTTATCAAAATATTTTTTGATTTAGAGGCAGAAAAGTTGTTTAACGACCGTTTAAAAAAAAGCATAGGTACTAATTACTAATTTAAAAAAAAAAAAACAAAAGTGAGTTAGTTTCGGATTTCTTTCCAAATATTTTCTCTCTCTTTGATGTATTATTTTTTAGAATGACATTTTTCCATTATTTTCGGAGTGACATTTGCCATTTTTTTTGTCATCTTCTCCCAACCTTAGCATCCCTAGACACTACTTCTTCGCCCTCTCGACTTGCGATTTTTATTTTTATGAATCTCATCACTGTCAGATTTTCACCTCTTTTGTGATGCAAATGACCAATACAGCATTTATATACAACTATTGCCGTAGCACTGCATATCCAGAAAAGTATATGAATAATAGTTGAGGTAATCGTAGAAAGTTTTCTCGCATGTTCCGCAATTCGGACAGAGTTGACTTCTCCCGACTCCTAGAAAATATTTCTGTTTATCAGGACTCTTATATACAGTAGTCAATTTTTAGATTAACCTCTATTTCTGAAATTTCATCATCACAATATCCGGACAAAAACTTTATTTAACAGTCCTTTTTTGAAGGATTTTATAACCAAAAATGTTTTTTTTAAATTGAAATTTTTCTATCAAAAATATAACCTCCTGGATCTTATATGGTTATTTGCATTTTTAACCTCCTTGGCTCAATAGATATTGACTACGTTTATTTCATGCGTTGTATCCGGATACTAAGTGGATTGGATTAATAATGGGGATTAATAATCCTTAAATAAACACCCAGGATTAGAGTTTATCCGGATCAGAGTACTTAACCCAATCCTCCAAATCTGTAGGATTGGACCTTAAATGGATTATATCAAATGTGAAATAAACACCGTAATCGATAAATTCACCACGTTTTTTGGATGGTACAAAATTCATTATAGAATCTGTAAAATCATTTTAAAGGCATGCGAGAACGAAAATTGAAAAGATAAACATTTATTCAGGTCGAATTGAGAACTTTACTTTTAAATGGATTGAAAACATGGTGACTTTTCTTTTTTCGCTTGTCGAATTTCTCTTTTCTCCAGTTTGTTGGTGATCCATGACGGGCTCAATTGCCCATTTCCCTTAGGATCAAAAATTGTTTGATGCGAGGTTTGCTGTCAATATCTTCTAGTTGAGCTTTTCTAAGTAGGTAGTTCGGAACTCCGTTCTTGATCTGTTCCAAATCGAAGACTCCATTCTTTTATGCTGATCAATTCTAGGGTAGTGCTTACACTAAATTGGGCAAGGTCGCATGGATAAGGTTTTGGTGTTACTAGGCAGTTTACCAGAACAATGATTGATTTGAAAATCGCACTCTTGCAACTTTTAATCAAAGGCCTAGAATCATCAGAAGGGGGCGAAGTCTCAGCCTTACTCTGGTCACATCTAAATCTGCGATGTCCTCTTTTGCCTTAACGGTAGCATTCGTTGCTCCCTTACAAGTTTCCCATAGAAGGCTAACAAAACTGGCCAGAAGGTGAGCAAGATCTCAACCGTACTCCGAAAGAGTCCTCTTCTTCCGCAGCGTAACATTCGGTGACCTTCCGTATTTTTATCAGGAGTTTCCTCATTGTGCCTATAATTTTTCCTATCGGTTATTGCTCTTCTTGTATTCACGCCTCTCTTGCCGCTTCGATTTCTAGGGTTTAGAATACGGCTTCGCTGTTACTTTATGGCAACATTGTCTATAAATCCATACCTCTGATTCCATTGTTGAAATTTTGGGCCAATATTTGTTCTCGCATTTCTGTTATTGCTTCCCGGTACGCCAAATTAACCCAGACGGCGGATATCGGTTTCAACTTCTTGTAAATTTTCGATAGCTTTCTGTTGTATCGTTCCTAACTGTGCCTAACTGCCATCGGTGGTCCATCCAGTAACGAGAAGCGTGCACCATAGTTTTGTTGAGAGCTGGCGAAAGAATCTCCAATAGCTCGAGTCTAAGGCAGGGGCCGTCAGAGCATACTCCAATTATTAGCCACTGCAACAGTCTCGAACTGACGCCTGCACATCGCATATGATGTTGCAGGCAGAGCTAATTAATTTTCCGATTTCAAGAAACATTCCAACTTTTTAATTTTCTTCTCAGAACTCTGCATTTCTTGCCGAACAGTTCCATTTTCCTAAGAAACACTACCAACTTCTTCACATACTTACTTCTTCCATTGCGTTCTTCAATTTATAATGTTGTCATTCCAGTATTTTCTCGGTTTGTTCGTCAGAGATTCATGACTTGAATCTATTCTGGCTGAAATCCTAATTTTTTTGTGGCCGGTCTTGCTCTTCTTGTTCTTGTTATCTCCGATCTTCTCTCGTTGTTGTAAAAGTGCTGCAAACCGATTCTGTTCTTCTTGTCTCTGGTTTTCCCGCTCTTGCCTTTCTTTATGTCATCGATGTTCCTCTTCTAATTTTTTTTTGATCTCCGATTTTCTCATTGTTGTGAAAGTTCTGCAAACCGGTTCTGTTCTTGTTTTTTTTGCTGTCTGCTAGCTTCCTGTTCTTGTCTCCGATATTTTTCGTGAAGTCCACCAACACAGCATTAATTTGATTAACATGACGATCTGCTGTCGTGTAAATACTCTGTGTCTTTCCTAAATTTATTTTAAATATGTATAAAGTCCGGTAGCGAAGTCACGTTGTCTAATTTTCAAATAGAACACGATGGGGTGTTCTAGAAAAATGAATCTGTGGACTTATTTCTCGATGTCAAATCAGTAACAAAATCACTATTTCAGTTCAAAAAAAGTTCACTTATTGTTCCCCCTAATAAGCTCCAATTAATCTACTAGTTATCTCGTTAATTATTATCCTCTTAATAGGCTCAAACTAATCCAGTAGTTATCTCGCCAATAATTTCACTGATTAGCTCAAATTAACAAACCGTTGCTAAAAATCCCACTTCTGACATCAAATTGTCGCGGATTCCGCGGGTCCACTAAAACTCTCTTTACTAGATTGTAGATTGTAGATTGCGGGGGAGTCGTTTCGGCTTTTCAGCCGCTCAGCACTGCTACCTTTGCAGATATTTTGTACATGAGTCTACATCTCAAATTGTCTCCAGGAAGCGTAGACTCCTGCCGAAGGAAGCTATTTTCCTGGGTGTTAGTTGGCCCACTTCTTCTGGTGACAGTGTTGCCCCCTCGAGGAATTTGAGCCTCTTGAAGAATTGAGCTGGACATTCGCAGAGCAGATTGCGTCTGAGCAGAATCTGCAGAGATCGTCTTCCGCTCTGCCCATTAACCTTAAATGGTATTTTACTGGGCAGTGTCCTGTGAGCAGTCCCACCACCAATCTGATGTCTGGTCTGCTCATGCTTAGGAGCTGTTCAGCTCTTTTTGCTGAAAGGGTAATAAACCTTTTAGACTGTCTGAGTCCCGGTGTGTGCCTCCAGTATGATGACAGTTGGTCTTTCTCCCATTTATTGAGTTCTTCCATGATGTGGCTTTTCATTAAGCCACAGTAGGGCTCTGGTCCATGGTATGGTGTTGAGGCCCCTTCCTTTGCGAGGCCATCTGCTTCTTCATTACCTTCTATGCCTCGATGACCAGGCAGCCACATCAGCGTTACCTGGTTGTGTGTCGCTAGTGTTTTTAGGGTCTGTTTACACTCCCAGACTAGTTTTGACGTACATTTGAAAGCTCTTAAGGCTTTTAAGGCAGCTTGGCTGTCCGATAGTATGAAGATGTGTTTTCTTTTGAGGCTTTGGCTAAGACACTCTTAGCTCTCTTTACTAAGAAAAAAACTTTTCTTGAATAATTTTGACTGTGCCAAATTCAGAAACTCACTAATTAATTACTTATCGTGAACAGGGACACTTTATCCGTTAGGACAATTAGGTCATGTCCTACGGGCCACTGGAGAATGAAGGCCAACTGCTGGCCTTTAATTTATAATATAAAATATAAAAGCCCACTATACCAAAAACATCGACTTATTTAATAGCAGGACTAGCATATATATTTCAATACTCTTTAATTCTTATAATTCACACTGCACAAGCACATTTGGTTTGGCCAGAGTGCACTGCCTGACGTCACGATGCTCTGGAATCGCTCCGCTCGCTCCATTGGAACACGCACTAGAGTCACCGAGCTGCGCTGAATCGCCATCGCGTCATTAGCGCAGCACGGGCACGTGGCAACTGGCAACTGGCAACTGGCAACGACTACAGCAGGAACCTGTTAGTGTTTGCGCTGCTTTGCCAAATTGTAAGTTTCTTTGAGCTTCTTCTGGAGCATCCAGGGACTTGAGCAGTGTCTTAAGGGTCCAGTGTACCACGAACTCGTGCCTTGTTGTTGTTGAGCTTGTAGGACATGCACAGGCAACGTGGTACGAATTTTCCTCAAAGTTGCAACCCCTTATGCATCTTTTCCTCGCTAATGGATTTGATCCCAAACCATGCAGCTGTTCTTCCGAAGCACCCATCAGTACACTTAGTCCCCAGCATCCATATGTGGTGATTGGTAGGCTGGCAGCTCAATGCCATCATTTTCTTCTAGGACGTTCCGACCATATAGCATGTTTTGTGACCATTCTTGTTCCATCATTTTGTAGTACCTTTCTTGGATTTGACCGAATACTACTTGGCAATATTTTTTGTCTTCATATTCT